TAAAGTGTTCAAGTAATTAAATTTAGAAGTGCAATTATAATAAAAACTGTATTACGTGTCGGACAAGCTCAATATTAAATCTTACAAGTATTTGATACAAGAGTGAGATAAATTCTACTCCTGGAGTACTCTGGAGTAGCATTAATATAGTTCTACTAGTAAGTATAATGCAACACATGCAACCATTAATTCTTTGGAACAGGCTCTATCGTTAGGGTTAACATCGTTCAAAGTATCCAAATCGCAAACACTGGTAACACCATCTCGTGTGTAAATCTAAATTGACATCGCTGGGAATTGAACCCAGGTCTCCTGTAAGCAGGCGCGCTTCCATTACGCCACAACATCGTGTTTGTGAACCTATTTCTATCGCGGACATCGTTCTTGTCACCCTTCAACAGCATACTGCTGGTTTATGAGCTGTAGTTTGACCGAAACGACACTGCAGGCTTACCTCATCGGTCGATGCACAGGATTCGTGGCGGATCGGCATCGGGTTCGTTTTACTCCAGCGCGTTTAGTGAATGAAAACAAGTTGGCCGAATTGGAATAAAAATATTTACAAATACCCGCCCGACTCGGACGATCGATAGAGACCTTTCGGGTTAGCAAACCCAGAATTTGAAATTCCTGAAATAAAACTTCAGGTTACTCACACCTTCGAACTTCGGGTACGAATTTTCGGTCATTGTTGGACGATCCTGGGAAATATTGGTACCCTTTAAAAGTACGGTACAGTAAGCTCTCGCTTAACTCCGCAGCCACTAACTCCGCATTACTCACGTTTTGGTCCAAAACATCGTGCTGAGAACAAAAATTAAAAACGAAGAATGAAAACAATTATATTATCATTTCGGTCATTATTGATGCGATGTATTCATCGGATTTCGGTCATCACAATGCAAAAAACGATTCATATCACTAGTCTTCAAGTCTATGGATCTGCGCAAGCACATTCAATTCGACTACTTCGTCATCTACGTTGTCATCACTACTTACGACGTTTGACAACAAGTTGACTCCGATATCCGCCATCACAAACGAGTTCTTAATCGTTGACGACAACACATTTTCCCAGGTAGCTTTAATACAGGTCGCTGGCGTCTAGCACATGAGGCGGATGACCATCTTTGACACCTGCAGAGCCTAGGACGTTTGGTCTTGGCAGCTCGTTCAACGCTATCCTATGAACGGACTATGGCTCGCACTGACCGTATGCGCGTACCAGCAAGTTCATCAAGTATGGACAAACGTTAAGGCGTTCGCCTTCCCCACGAACTATCGTCGAATTGAACTCTGACCACCAATGCATGCTTGATGATACAGTAGTGTTGTACCTACACCACCACTTTGTCCTGATTACATCAGTATTAATTTTTTTGTATTTTTATTGTAAAATGTAACTCCACTGTAACTCCGCACTTGTCATTCCAACCCTGTGCTGTGCGGAGTTAAGCGAGAGCTTACTGTAGTATTATCACCTGCAACGTGACATGTGACATGTCTTAGACAGGCTGGAATCCTGCTGGTAAGCTTATCATGTTGTCCCACACGTACAGTACAGTACACAAAGTAAGCCGGATGCGCCTATGCATGGCCATAATTCTTCCTCGTATTCATGCACTACATGGCCGGCCATGTTACATATACGAGGGTGTATACCGCTCATATACCCTCCCATAAGGTGCTGACCGAGCAGAACGTCGCAGCATTCCCACCATCGCCCAGCACTCATACCGGTACCGGTATGTCTAACGTTCGACGTATGCGAAGACCGCTAGCTAGCTGACAGCGCAAAAGATTCCTTCTACTCAGTAGCTGATACTGTACTGTAAGCTTACTACATTAATCGCGAATAAACGTCACTACTGTACATAGTACTAACGTTAGTACTGTGCAGTAGAATATACTAGTACATGTAGTACTCCGGAGTAGTAGACTTCGAAGTAGTACAGTAGGCATCGCAAGTCGAATGATTGTGGGGTAATGTCGTATCACTTCAATGGTTGACATCGGCAAACTCCATTTTCCTTTTTGCTCTTCGATGGCCAAAGTCCTCGTCTCCCTAAGTGCATTGGTTGCTGCTGCCACGGCCGGCTCCGTGACGGAACTCCCCGAGTCTGTGACCAAGCTCATCGACTACTCCGCCAACCCCTGCGAAGACTTTTACCAATACGCATGCGGTGCGTGGCACAAGGATGCTGTGATCCCCCCGGACAAAGCCGGCATCGTGAAGTCGTTCGACAAGATCGCCATCCAAAATGAAGTCGTGTTGAACAAGATTTTGTCTGAAAACAAGCCCAAGCTCGGAGAGTTCTATAGCTCGTGCTTGGACACGGCCACACTGACGTCGCTCGGCCTCTCTCCGTTGGCGGACTCGTTCAAAGCCATTCGCTCGGCCAACACGACGTTGGACCTCCTCATCGTGGACGGGCAGTTGGTGAAGAACGGCATCCCTGCCTTCGTGGACATCATATCGGCCGGTAACGCCAACAATAGGACAAAACACGCCCTCTTCGGTTTCCATCCCACCTTGCCGTTGTTCCCCATGTACTACAACAACCCTACCAGATGGGCGTCCGTCGAAGCCGACTACAAGGTGTACATTGCGTCGGTGTTGCAGTTGGCTGGATACTCTGCCGAGCAAGCTGCGGCGGCCGTGCCTGT